TTCTATAAATCGCATTTGAAGTTGGGTGTTCGGAATTTGAAAAACAGTATAAAGATTTTATACATGAATATGAACAGTCAGCATATATGACTACGATTAATGATGATTTATCTAACAGATCGGCTATAGAAAAGTTTTATCTTCCTCATCATGAGGTCGTTAAACCTTCTAGCACAACGACAAAATTAAGAGTAGTTTTTGATGCATCCTGTAAATCTGAAAACGGTATATCATTGAATTCTCTTTTAGGGGTAGGTCCGAAATTACAAAGAGATATTTTTGAGATTTTGATTAATTTTCGATTTCCTAAAATTGTTTTCACAGCCGATGTGGAGAAGATGTATCGTCAGGTGATGGTAGCCCCTGAAGATCAGAATTATCAATTGATACTTTGGCGATACAATTCCAGTGATGAAATGCGCACGTACAAGTTGAAAACAGTTACGTATGGTCTTTCCTCTGCTTCATTTTTAGCAACTCGATGTCTGAAGCAGGTAGCTTTAGATTCTAAAGAGGAATCAGATGTATCTCGTATATTGCAAGAGGATATGTATATGGACGACTTATTGTCGGGTGCAAATACAGTTGATGATGCAGTATCTGTCTGCAAGAAAATATCTTCAATTTTACATGCACGTGGTTTTGATTTGAGGAAGTGGAATTCAAATTCTGTAGAATTCTTAACTGAATTTAAGGAACATTGTTCACTGAATTCTGATTTCGAGATATCTCCTAATTCGAGTTCGAAAGTCTTAGGACTTTTTTGGAATTCAACTACTGATACCTTCAGTTTTAAAGCTACACTGCACATCAACGCACCCATAACAAAGAGACACATAGAATGCGAGAATGTGGCAGAATCTGCTCGCATTTCGATCCTTTAGGTCTCCTATCTCCTTGCACTATATTGATTAAAATATTCTATCAAAAACTATGGTTAGTTAAAGGCGACTGGGAATCAGTTGTTCCCCAGCATATCTCAGATGATTGGTTTAAATTTCAAGAGACATTCAGTCAAATCAAAAATTGTGAAATTCCGAGATGTGTCATACAACGGACAGTGTTATCCAACTACATGGATTTTCTGATGCATCTTCGCAGGCCTTATGCAGCAGCCATTTACTGTCGCCAAAAATGCAATGGTACGGTTAAGGTTAATCTTTTGGTATCAAAGACTAAAGTCGCGCCTATAAAGCAAGTATCCATTCCTCGATTAGAACTCTGTGCTGCGTATTTGTTGACCAGATTAATGCGATCTCTATTGAACATTTTAAAGAAGTTTGATTTTGAAATCTTTGCGTGGACGGATTCCAAGGTAGTTCTGTCTTGGCTATCAGCTCATCCACGTAAGTGGAAAACTTTTGTGGCAAACAGAACATCTCAAATCATAGAAGTGATACCTATTAAACATTGGAATCATGTTCCCTCTAAACAGAATCCTGCAGACATTGCTTCTCGTGGTATTGAACCTCAACTCCTACCAAATTGTACTTTGTGGTGGAATGGTCCACCATGGTTGCGTCAGGAAGAGGAAAAAAATGGCCTAAATATGAATTAAAATCTGAAGATGATACTGAAGTAAAGGCCGAACAAAGATCTGATCCTATTTTTATTTCTCATATACGTGAATCGAATGATTTATTAGCTAATTTGTTCGAGCATTATTCTTCGCGTTGTAAAATTGTTCGTATTCTGGCTTACTGCCAAAGATTTATTACTAATTGCAAGAAGCATCATGTTACTCAGAACATTTCACGTAGTGGCATTAACTCCAGCTGCCTTATGCCGCTAACATTTCTAGAGATTCGAGTAGCAGAAAATTTCATTATTCGTTGGATTCAGAATCATTATTTCAAAGATGATTTACAATGTATTAAGGGAGATAAACCTTTACCCAAGAAGAGCCAACTACGTTCTTTATATCCATTCGTAGATAAAGATGGTCTCTTACGGGTGGGAGGACGTCTTCGAAATTCATCTTTAGCATTTAACATCAAACATCCTGTCATACTTCCTTCTCGACATAAATTTAGCGAATTACTAGTGAAAGAACTTCATATTTCTTACCTTCATGCTGGTCCTTCTTTATTATCACACCTCATCAGGCAATCTTACTGGATAATTGGAGGAAAGAGAAAGAGATGATACGCAGTTGTGTCAACCATTGCTTAATATGTCATCGATTTAAAGCTGCTTCAAATCCGCAATTGATGGGTGACTTACCTGAACATCGTGTGTGTGACTTTGGAACGACCTTTTTACGCATCTGGTGTGGATTACGCTGGTCCTATTACCATGAAATTTAATAAGGGTCGTGGCTCTAAAACAACGAAAGGCTATATAGCTCTGTTTGTTTGCTTGTCGACTAAAGCTGTGCATATAGAAGCAGTCAGTGACCTGACGGCAGACTCGTTTATCGCTGCACTTAGACGTTTCATTTCACGTCGCGGTGCACCACGGCACATTTACAGTGACAACGGTACCAATTTTGTGGGAGCATGCCGAAAAACTACAAGAACTAAATCAGATTTGGTCTTCCTTGTATGCAACAGAATCGGTTTCCCGAGAACTAACTAAGTCATCTATTGAATGGCATTTTATACCGCCTGCTTCGCCCCACTTCGGAGGAATATGGGAAGCCGGCATTCGCTCAGCGAAATTTCATCTGAGAAGAGTATTGAAAGAGACTCTTTTAACCTACGAAGAGTTGTCAACGCTACTTACCCAGATCGAGGCTATTTTGAATTCACGTCCACTTACTTACGTGAACGATACTGATATTGACTCTATTAATGTTTTAACCCCTTCTCATTTTATTACAGGTGATACTTTGACTTCCTTTCCAGAGACACATCAGTCTGTTCGCACAAGGAGTTCTAGGTGGGAACTTGTACAGAATCTACGTCGCGGATTCTTGGAATCGATGGAAAAGGGAATATTTGACTTCTCTTCAGCAGAGATCCAAGTGGCAGCACACCAAACCCAATCTAAAGGTCGACACGGTGGTTCTTGTCATCGAAGATGGATCTCCACCTTTAGCTTGGCCTATAGGACGGATCATCGATGTCCATCCGGGCAAGGACGGCTTAGTTCGCGTAGCTACAGTCAAAACTAAAACTGGTGTCTTCAAAAGACCAATTAATAAACTTTCACCTTTGCCTGTGTATCAGGACTAAACCTGATAGGGTGGGAGTATGTTCACTTCCACGCCTATCGAATTAATTTCTACCTTTTCGTTGCCCTGCGTTGGCAACACGCTTTTGAGATTTGTCGTTCGTAGAATTCGGTCTATTAAATGTTTACATGTGAATGTTATATTATTAAATGTATTCAGTTTGTTTTAAATAGACAAGAGTCGTTAAATTTATTAAGTATATTTAAAGTCGAAACTGCATCATCCATTTTGGCGCCATTCTAACACAGGAACGTAAACACGTTTTTATGATTTTTATCAATATTATTATGTTTGTAAAAGAAATGTCTAAAAATTTACAAACCTAAAAAATTTTGCATACAAACTGATCTCGAAATCGCCAAATTTAACCCTACATAATAAAAGAACTGCCATCTCAAAAAAGGAAAAATTGTTTTTGAGGTAATATTTTATGGACTCTTTATTGATAAAAAAGAAATTATTTGAAAATGTTTACTTTTCAAATGTTATACATTCTCAAAATGTTTCTGACAAAGGGCTTCATGATTAAAACTCAGTATCCACCGTTTATATTAAGAAGAAAGAATTCAAACATTAACCCATCAAATACACATTTGTCAATGCGTTGCCAAAAAATATTTCTTCCAAATCCTTCTAACTCATACTCAAAATGGCAGTCATAAAAAAACAGGCAGAAATGTTTTTGACTAAAATTAAGGCCATTTTGCTGGTTTTGGGCAAAATTAAGAACTTTTTTAAGGGCCAAAAATTGTTTTAAAAAAAACCTAAGGACCTTTAAGGAATCATGTGAACCCTGCAATCTTTACTATTCAGACAAGAACCTAAAGAACCAAAAAGCGATTCACATCTTATAATGTTTGCCTCAACGTAAATCATTAGCTAAACATATAGTATCACACTGAAAACCCTAAATAAATTTTAAAAAGTTATCCTGAACAAGCATAACATCCTGAATAAACATATACATGCAAAAGGCACTAAAATACTGTAAGATTAGGTATTTTTTAATAAGAGGCTGGAAATAAATGAAACAAATAATGTAGGCCTTCCGAGTATGATAATTTTGGTGATGCGACACTTTTTAGCAAAAAATATCTGAAACCTGGGATTTTTATACAGACCCTGTAGTGGCAAAGACATTGAATTTTATGAAGTGATAAAGAGTTACATTAAGGTTAGGTTAATGTAACAGTTAGGCTGCTCTGCCTCTTATTATTTTAAAATTGTATACAGTTATCATAACCTTTTCAAAGACTCTTTCTAACATACATAAATAATCACATAAATACGTACTAAGACTGATATATTGAACGATATTATAAGACTGAAACACATAAAATTACAAACTTCTTATGTAACATTCCTTGTTCGGAGACACACAGAATTAATAAAACATTACAGATCACATGCAGAATTAGTTAAAAAATTGTTACAGTTAAATGAAACGTGTATCTCATTTACAGAAGAAATCTTGGGCTCCATATTCTTATTTTAACATTCTGCTTCATTTTTGTAGTTCAAAAACTGGAACTCTTTCATTAGCAGTATAAAATGGGATTCTGCATTTTTAGTCATAAAATTGGAAACACTTACTAATTTATGCATTAATTTATATATATAAAAGAGAGAGAATTGGATAAATTTCACATCAAAAGAAATATTTACTTATTAAAAAAAGTATACTACAGTATTAGTATTAAGTATATTACAATTATTAGTTATTTCTAAAAGTATATTACAATACTTTTAGAAAAAATGATGTTATGTGTATTGCATGTATAAAGCAAAATTCAGCTAATAAAACACATAAATACATAAATTTTACCTGTAAAACATTTGTAAAGAGGATTGAAAGGCCTATGAGAACACACACACAAAAATGAGTCATCCGTTGTTCTCTGGAAATCCCCAAATCAAAAATTAATATTACATTATATATAAACATGAATTTATATATATATATAAGTAAGCTTATATTCTAAACATATATACATATAAAACAAAAATGAATAAAAAGAAAAGAATAAATACAAAATTATTTTTCCGTATGATAATGTTAAATGAGTACAAAAATTCCTCGCTATGCAAGAAACAAATTTAAATCATTCTTTTCAAATATTGTTTTAATATAGCCACAAAAGTTTTAACACATTTTTAGCAAGTAGTTTTTTATTACTTTGACATCTGATGCATTTTATTATTAGTAACATCTTTACCACTATTCTCTCTATATGTATTTATCTACATGAAAAAGTCTGTGTTTAATTATGTACAGTAAAATAGATCACCAACATTTTCAGGACTACTAATACTTCATGATTGATGAATTTGTCTGACACTCTCTACTTTTACTTTTATAATGAGTCATGATCATTTCCAAGATAAAGTTCCAGCTGAGCTTGAGGCATATAGTATGGAACATATATAATCAGTAAAACTATGATAAATCTCAGGACAAAACAAGAAATCTAGAAGTGTTGATGCTGTTTACAGAAACTTGGCATTTGAAATAACTTAGTATTAAGATCCAGGAGAAGAAATTGGACATGTTGAAATTGAACTATATGCAGAACACACCCAACAAGAAGAGGCTTATGTTCTTGCTCTCACTCAGAAGCAAGAGCAATAACTTCTGATTATTTGCCCTTAGCTAAATGTTACATGGAAGAAGATAAAATCTCTTTTCAACCATTACAAGATAGACAACTGTAAAAACTATAATTACAGGAGCCAGATGGAGCTGCACGTCTGACTTCCTTTTTGAATTAAAAAATACTTGCTATGGATACTGCGAACAATATATATATATGACTGGATTTATATGTGTATTCTTGTCATCATGTATTTGCATGCGCCATAAACAAAATTAGATTAAATGTCACGGACTGCACTGATCTTATTTGACAGGTAAGAGACTTTAATTATTTTATTTGTTATGAATATTGACTAGAAATTCTAAAGTGAAAGTGATTTTGGAGTAATTTTTAGTTACATCAACAACTTCTATGCAATACTCATGAAAGATGAAATCAGGCTAAGGTTTACCTCATGCACTATGTGTGAGAGGACATTACTCAGTTTGATGACAGTAGACTTCCAATTCTGTATTCCCCCCCCCCAAAAAAAAAAACTGACTCATCTATTAAAGGAATTATTTGAGGACTGCCTGTTGAAAGTGGCACCATAAAAATTCCAGAAGAGCTATGTGATAAAGACTTTTCTGTCATTAAATTTATTCAGTTTATGTGAAAGAAAGCTGACAATGTTGAGATGCTTGTTGCCTTTTCACTGAGGTGCAATGCAATAATACGAGAAGGCAAATTCATGAATAATTAGAATACTTGCTGGACTGATAATCAACAGACCAGAGAAATCTTAGATGATATGTTTCTAATGTTACAGTTTTGGACATGGCCAAACTGGGTGTAATAACAATCCACACTGTTCAGAGGGGGCAAGGGTTTATGCTTGTAAGCTGCCAAAGAATAAAAAGTCAATGTGTGTCAAAAAGTAATCAGTGCTTAAGTCAAAAAGTCGATCTGAACACTAGGCTTTGTATAAAGGTTGCCTGATACATTAAACAAACAAACAAAAAGGAGGGAAAAAAGGAATAGCCTAAACTGGTTCATCCATGAATGTACTGTGAAACAAGTCCAGGCCTTTATAAGTCATTTTTCACTAACTCTGGGCAGCAGCAGTATTATTAAAGAATGAAAGATGATCAGATCACATCTACAGAAGGTGTTCGATGTACTTTGTCTGGTGAAACTCATGGAAAAGGCAAAGTTAAACTAAATGGTCAGTTCAGTTGACACAGCTTGATGATTCATTCGAAGGTATCTTATGACTCATTTTTACCCCACAAGTTTGATGAATTCCATCCTCGCACTCCAAAAGCAGCTCTGCTTCCAATTGAATTTTGATGATTTTCCTTTTTTATTGAACTGGGCAGCCAGCTCTGTTTCTGATGACCAGCTTTCCTCAATTTGCACTAGATTTTCTTCATTTTTCCCACTGAGATAAGACAAGGCATTTCACTTTTTCATCTTCTATTTTCTAAGGAAACATCAGGATTCATCAGTCTCAAGTTTCTCCATGGAATTCTTCGAGGTTTACTGGAAATTTCTTGATGCAGTGCTCTCAATCAACAATTCATACTGTTCGAAAGATGAGATATTCACCTCTTTCTCACCTCTTTACTATAGTGAATTTTGCTTCAAATGAAATGGCTTGCTGTTTTTTACACTACGAGTACTTGATTCTCTCTTTTCACCAACTATTTAAAAAATATTTTACATATATTTATCATAAAAATAATTAATGTACACTCTACTGTAGATGCACAATGACTGAAAGCCAATGTAAAGAAAATGCAGTTTGCACTGCCTGTGCAGTGTTGCCGTACACATCATGTAGCCTCATTTGCTACACTCCATTTATTTAATTTTATGGCCAAGAGCAGTACTTGCTAAGATGAAGCTGTTTACATAGAGTATAATTAATGCTTCCTGAAGTGATGTTCAGAAAGTTGGCAATTTCCTTATGTGTAACTTGCAGATCTTGTCTAACCCGAGTTTCAGTTGTAAGGATCCTAAGTTTTACTAACGTTTATTTTATTTTAAATCTTTACTATCACTTCTTATTTTCTACTTCCGGCCAGAATTAAAAGCTTTAACTTATTTATGCAAATTTGTCTTGCTAACGCCAAGTAAATAAGTTGTGGCTTTTTGCCAAGCAAGAGAGAGGAAGGAGTTATTAGAAGCAGGCCGCTGGCCATAGTAGTTTTACTCGGTGCTGGTTGCCTTCAGGGCCAGAGGTTTAGTCCTCTTGACAATTTCAAACATATCGTAGTTTTAGCAGCTCTCAGAACTACATACAGATTTTTGTTAAATCTTAAAGATTTTTTGTCAATCTTAAAGTTAGGCACTTGTATATTAATCCAAAGTTAGTTTTAGTTAGTATTTTTATATTCTTACGTTCAGACCACAAGTGGTTGGTCTCTGTATTCCGAAGTTCCGGAAATTGCTGTAAAGATAGAAAAATATAGGGTTTCGTATACCCTTCCTGTGTGTATTGTCTACTTCACAATTTATTGAACATAGCTTGAGTAAGCTCCCTGTTCCGAGTCAGGACAGTTCATGTTTCCAAAGCAAGTGAAGAGGAATACAAGTCCTGATAGTGGCGCCCGACGAAGAAGAATAACCATGGGCGAGTTTCAAGAAGAACCTGTGGTGCCTGCAGAAGGGGCTCAGAATCCAGAAATGCCAGCTGCCGCCCTGGAAGGATTTGGATACATCGTACAGACCATGCGCGCATCGATGAAACCAGAAGCAACATTTAATGGAAACTCACCGGTAACTAGTTTTTTGGAAAAATTGGATGACCACTTCATGCTGTATCCAGTCCATGAGTTCCAGAATGTCACCTTAGCTACCAGCACTTTGAAGGGCCAAGTGCTTAATTGGTTCAAATGTATAGGCAGAAACCTCTTGGGTCAAGCGGAAAGCCCCACCTATACTTACGAAAATTTCAAGAAAGCCCAGTAAAAGCCTTCCCTGTCGTAAGAAATCGTTCAAAATTAGAAGCGGAACTCTTCAGCATATACCAGCAACGAATTGAAAATTTCTCAAGCTTTATTTTAAGAAAAATTTACGTCTTTAAACTCTTGTATGGAAGCCATCCGGATCCTGAGATAATCCAAGTGATTTTGCCGAGGTTACTTCCCCAAGTACAAGACTTTATTGAATTAAGGAATCCGACTACACTGGAAAAGTTATTTGAGCTAGCAATCCAGTTTGAAAGTAGAAGAACGGCGGACATTGAAAGAAGACGTCAGGATGAGCAACGAAGCCAATTTGGTGCGCCAAGACCACAGCAAAGGCAAGAACACGGCTACGGAAGCAAATCGAATCAGTGGGCAAGGAAACCTGAGTATCCAAAAAACAACCGGCGAACGTCGACAGTTCAATAATAAGCCAGAAAAGTCTGAAGGCCAGCGGAAAAAGAAGGAAGGCATGGAAAGGAAGAAAGAAAATTTAAACTAAAACGGATTTCTGCTGACGGGAGGGTGTGGAAGTCCGAAGGCCAAGAATACCCCTCTTCCTTCAAGTTAAATACAGTTATTGTGAAAAAGTTGACTCTTCCAAAGATTGAAGTTTTGGTGAACAACATCCCAGCCACCGCACTCCTGGATACAGGCACGCAGTGTTCCTGTGTGGCAGAAGATTTTTTTAGGAAGTACTTCGGTAGATACCGCATATATAATTCGGATAATACGACAGTGTTAGCTGCGCAGTGAGAAAGATGCAAATGCATAGGTAAAATAACATTATACATTCGCATTAAGGACGAGCAAGTACAGATCATGTTTTTTATCGTAAAAAATTTACAAGCACATGCCATTTTAGGGATATATTTTCTTTCAGAGGCAGAAGCAATGCTGGATTTCAACCAAGCGTCCCTTAAGCTGACCATGCAACCAGTTCGGGAAGAAAAAAGAGAACCACCCACATTAAATCTCAATCACCTGCCTAAGGGAGAGCAACAAAAAATTTGACAAGTGGTAAGTGAATTTGCTTCGTTATTTAGTGATATTCCTGGATTTACTCAAGTTACTAACCATAGTATCGACACAGGAGATTCACTGCCAGTTCCGCACAAACCATATCGGTATGATAAGAATAAAGAAAAAATTATAGAGTGGCACATTTGAGATACGTTACGTAAAAAGATCATAACGCCCATCTTAAGTAGTTATGCTAGCCCGGTTGTGTTATGTAAGAAAAATAATGACTATCCAGTAACACATCCAAAACGGTGGCGTTTTGCAATTGACTATCGTAAATGACACCATACTGAATATCCGGTATATCCGTTACCTATTATTGAAGAAATTTTA